TTCACTCATGGATTTCCTTCTTAGTTGGAACTAGGCATAATTTAAATGCTGGAAAATCTTTCTTTTATAGCTCCAAGGCTACATTAACATCTACAAAGAAAAGGGGCCGATACTAATATTGGAAGTTGCATGAAGCACAGCAGATGTAGAACATCGTATTAAAGAGTTCTTTGGTTACATGACAATCTCTCAGGAGCACTGACATCTGTATTAAAAACTCTGTAGCTGAATACCAAGACTGAGCCTCAAGTATTATAACAAACAAAAGACAACAAACAATCTATAATTATCAGAAATTGTGACTGGAGTTGCTTAAAACAATTCTTTACAAAACCAATTTTGATTGCAGGCTGTGGTATATATCAGAAGCATAGGTTTTTAAAAGTTAAACAGGAAATGAAACATGCATGATGATCACCCATAATGAGCTGGGTGAGATGTTATTATCCACATTTCTCACTGTTTATGCCACCTGCAGCATCTAGAGCAACTCTTTCCTCTCTCAAAAGCTATCTTATGATTGCTAAGCCTGGTACAGTTTCTTTTGGGAAAAAAAAGTCAATTCACCAAGATGGGAAGAGAACAAAGGAAGCTCAAAACATTACTTGAAGACCACCAAAAAGACACAATTGAATGTATGAAAGGCAGTCATTTTAGTGCCATTTTGAAGTCTATTTTTCAGCCCTTAAAATAGAGACAGAACTTGCAAAAGTAGTAGGAAGGGGAAATGTTTAAACCATTAGCTCCCCCGCAGCCTTTGCCTTGCTTTTCATTTCAGTGTTACAACAGCCATTATTCCTTAATATTCTCCCTTCCAATTACGGCATTATAACAGAGATTAAGAATTCAAGTTACCCACCTACCTACCTGCCCAGACAACCTACCCAATTAGATAATGGTAGCTATAATGATAGCTATAGTCCAACTCCATTCTCTTATTTGTACCGAAACCTTTGGAGCAAGGCTTGAAGGTGGTGATGGTGTAGGTTCCCTAAAATAGCCCTGTCTCTAAATGGGGCAAACATACATTTATTTATCTATAAAGCATTCTTACTCTGCCCTTTCCCATGCAGTAATAAAGTTTCAAAGAAGAAAAAGCTTCCCATGATACCAGGAGAAGCTTTCATCATCTGATTTTTATTTATAAATATTAAAAGATGTATCTATTGCCTCCCATAAAATATCTCAAAGGACCTTGCAATCAAATTCAAAAAAGAATAAAGCAACATCAAATAAAAAAGTTATTGTAAAAGTGGTACATTAAAAATGGATAGGAAATAAAAAACCTGCCTCTAATACTCAAACAGGAAAGATGTAATTGAAAATATGAACAACGTACTATAGGTGTTCCTCAGTTATTGGGAAGAGAGCTTTCCAAAGAGTAGGCATAACCCCAAAATACTGGCTTTTTCATGAATGACTATAAGAAAACAAACAAAATTCTTGGATTATCAAATAGATTCTCCTGGCATGGTGTTGAGTACCAATTAGAGGAGGTGATACCCCCAGTGTCACACCCCATAAAAACAGCAATTTGACATACATTTAAGAACAAATGGAGAATTGGTATAGAGCCTGGATCACAGAGGCACATGCTTATGCTGGTGTCTACCAGCCAGCACTTGGGCCATTACATTCTGGCCATTATATCACATTTTCTAAACCCTAATGGAAACTTTTGGATGATCCTCAAAAGCAACCCCATGCAGAATACATTGCAATAGAACAGGCAGGTGTGGGGAGAGCATGAATTATGTTGTAACGTCCTTGGAGTTTTGAGAGGGTCAAAACTGAAGTACCAGATGAAACTGGACAAGCACAAGTTAACTATGGTATCTGTCTGCCTATATTAACAAAAGCTATGTTTTCAGGACAACCCCAAACCATGAGCTTGCTTTTTCAGAGGCATTGTCACTCCATCAAGAGACAGAACAAGGTATACTGTGTAGCAGAGAATCTATAAAAAAATCTTTCTTGCACTTGAGTTCAACTTCAGCCTGTTTTGTCCTGTCAACACTCTCACAGCTTCTAGGCAATGTAATAAGATATTGACTGCCCCTCTTGAATAGACTGAGATAGCAATGTGCAATCAAATTGTTATCAGTATATTGCTAATAGACATCTTTGATGATGACAACTTTAGATGATACCTTTGAATATGTTTGTGTAGATGTTAGAAAGCAGGGGAAAATAATCTGCACCTACTTGGTCAGTCTCTCCCCATCTCTAACCATGCTACTCAAATAAGAACCAATATATATATATATATATATATATATATATTCTTCAAAAAGGGACACCCCAGCCTATTTGAAAATTACAGACCAATCTCTCTATGCTGCGTCACCTGTAAAGTCATGGAATCAATTATTAACCAATCCATTATCCTCCACTTAGAGACAAACAACCTACTCTCTAATAAACAATTTGGTTTCAGAAAAAAAATATCCTGCCATCTGCAGCTCTTACACTACAAAAACATATGGACTACACAACTCGATGAAGGCAAAGTAATAGATGCAATCTACATAGACTTCTGTAAAGCCTTTGATTCAGTGGTACACGACAAACTACTCCTAAAACTAAAATCTTATGGTATCTCTGGACACTTGCATAACTGGATAGAAGCATTCCTATCAAACAGACAACAAATGGTCAAAATTGGGAGCATCCTATCAAATTCTGTACCTGTCAACAGTGGTGTCCCCCAAAGCAGTGTTTTAGGACCAACTCTCTTGATACTCTACATAAATGACCTCTGTGATCATATTAAGAACAACTGCGTCCTCTTCGCTGATAATGTAAAGCTATTCAATACCACAGACAATCCTGCTACCCTTCAAAAAGACCTATCAGAATGGTCAAACTCTCTGGTTTCTTCCCCAAACCCCAAAAACTTTAAATTTAGACTTTCTACTATTGACCTCACCCCTTTCCTAAGAGGTCTGTAGTGGGGGTGCATAAGCACACCAACGTGCCTACCGTCCCTGCCCTATTGTTTCTTTTATTTTTCTTATATGTATCCATGTATTCATAACTATGTTTTTACTTATACCTATTATCTTGTAAGCAATTGACAAACCAAATAAAATAAAAATAAATAAATAAATACTGAGGAAGGTCAGAACAATGCTTCTAATCCCAGCTCCTATGGACAATCTGGAAAGGTACCATGGTTAGTTATTTCAAAGGATGTAGAGATGCTGAAAAGGACTATGAGGAGTGCACTATCCTTCTCTAAATTGTGGTGGATGGAGGTCACCCACAAAAACAATCAAGGACATCTCCATCTCATGCCAAGTCTGAACATTAATTTGAAAGAGACTAAGCAATCTGTTTTCTCTTGAATGCTTTGTAGCTATATATTAAGCTCAGTTTTAATAGACTTCTCATGGAATAAAAGTTTAGAGACCAGGTGACAGATATCAAAAACACATGGCTCCAGAGAATTCAGGTAGTTGACCTCACTCCTTCCAAAATAATGCATTAAACACTTCCCAGGTCCAATTTGTTACAGCTCTATAAAACTGTTTAGGAAGCCAGGAAGTGAGTGGGTTAAGCCAAGAAGTGACAGCCACACTATCTTCTTCCTGAGCTCCAAAGTCAAAAAGAGCTCAAACAATTCCTTTTCAGTACCCATCAGAAAAAAAATCTTCATCCATAAAGAATCTGAGCAGACTAAGTCATCCTAAAGATTTTATGCTGATTGTCAATCTGATTTGACCAGGGCAGTGAGCAGGTTGGAATTCCCTCCATATCCCTATCAATACATAAAGTAATGTGTGGTCCAAAATATGGCTATCTACAGCCTTGTAACAAGAAAGTGATTACTGCGGTATTCTAGTCCAAGGATATTTAGGGTTTTATATACAAGTAATTTAACAACTTACACTTTGACTGAATTGACATTTTGTCAGGAAGAAAAAAAATAGTAGATGCTGCCAATGACAGATGCTTTCTCCATTCATATAATTAAAAAATCATTGTGCAAAGTGCAAGTAATGGCTCTCACCCTTCAGGCATGCTCAATTTCTCAAACTTTTTACTAACTAGAAATATTTTTTTAAAAAAACAGCTTCACCCACATCAGATGCAGGGTGATTACCAGAACTCTATATAACCATTATATCTTTCCTTACTGAAATAATTTTGTTTTTATTTGTTAACCGCATGTGCTACTTTAGAAGCTCTGATCTTTTTAATATATCATAAAGAGTTTAAGACACTTTGTTGTCTAAAACAGCTCACTGAGATCAGGGATTTTACTGAGGAATCAGAAAATACTACTTAGTTAAATAGTCGGCATACTTAAAAAGAGAAAAAAGATGCATGTTTCCACTCTGATATTATTAAAGCAGATTTACTAATATTAATTTTGCGCTGAGAAAATTAAATCTTTTGGAAATGCAATTGCTTAATGCTTAAGACTTAATTTATTATGTACAAAGCAGAAAGTCCAGGCTATTTTGAGTAATAAATTCACACTTCTTTTTTTTTCTTTCCTTTTTTTCAAAACATGCTTTAGGAAGATAAAATAAACAGAACTAAATTAAAAAAAAACTTCATCTAGATTATTGCTTTGCTTTTGTACAAAGAATTACCCAGAACTTAAAAAGTACAATACAGGTGACGCAGAGGTGGTATTCAGCAGGTTCTGACCAGTTCTGGAGAACCAGTAGCAGAAATGTTGAGTAGTTCGGAGAACTAGCAAATGCCACCTCTGACTGGAGATTTTACAGTATCCTTCCTTTGTCACACCCACCAAGCTATGCTCACAGAACCAGTAGCAAAAAATTTTTGAATCCCACCACTGAGCTAACAGTATTGTAGACAAAATTAAATCCTTACTCCCCAAATAACTGGAAAATTATGCTGGACAATAAGTGGACAATTAAAGAATAAAAGTAGAAAGGCAAAGACAGGACATCAATCTCTTTTCATCCCTTGTTACAAAATAACTTGTATGTCTTGTACAGAATTCATAAAGGATAGTGGCTTACCAGCACATTTTGTCCTTGTTGTGAGAGGAGGCCCAGGGGGTCCAGTTCCCCCTTCCCCAGGACGGGTAAGAAGCACTCTGATCTCATATTCCACATCAGGATCAAGATGCCATAACTTGTAATTGGGAGAATCCACAATGTGGGTTTCGGCCCAATTCCCATTGGTTGTACGGTATTCTACTTCTTTCAAGATAATGGGCCCATCACCAATGATGGAGTTGGCATTTGGTTTGATCCATAGGTATGTGGCTCCAACTGCTAGAAGTTCTGGAGGAGCAATAGGAGTGGGTGGTTCTGAAAGAAGTAACAACAAAAAGAGATCTATAAACACTGTGGTGGTGGGGTGTTTCTTTGAAAAGGTATTGTGTTTGAAAAGGTATTGTGCAATGTAAAAGAAACAATAGGTTATTTTCAAACATTACCTATAGGAAAGAAAAGGAGAAATAGAAATAATTTATTTCTTAAATACTTATCTAGACTTTAGCACTGGAACGAATAGCTTTATTTTCAATATATTGTTTATGTAAAAGAAGCAACTCCTTTGATAAATCATACCTCTCAAATAATCAAATTTGAAATAATTTTGTATTCATGTTCAGGTGACCTACCCAGTACAAAGAATACAATTGCAGATACTTAATTAACTTTCAGTGTAAATTCTGAACTGAACTTGCACACAAATTATCTACCAGTATTTTTCTATCTGGCAATCTTCACTTGTTTTGCAACTTTAATTTCTGAAACCTCTAATGGTACTCATGCTGATTATACTGTATATTCTGGATGTTGCAGTCCTAACAAATCTGAAAAAAAAAAGTCAAGTTGCGAAAAGCTGCTGTTTTCAATAGGCTCTGCCAATATAGTCAAAAGAAACCTACAAATCCTTAATTTCACCAATAAGTAATCCCTGCTTATAAATGAATGAATGTAAACTGAGGACCAATTGCTTCCCTTCCTCTTACACATCTACTTTATGAGTACATTTACATTTTAACTTTACTCTCTTCACAATCATATTGGTATTAAACCATCCAGCAGGTCACAATTATTAATTCACCTAATGCCAAGAAAACATATTGTCCATGGAAATATATAAAATAATGTTTACCACATTTGCTGGCAACTTTTCCCATTCCTGGAAAATGGAATGATTTTAGGATAAAAGTGAATGGGCATAGGAGAATAAGGGGTAGACATAGTGTTCCAAGAGTAGACACACAAGACATTTACATTCAGCCTGGGTTCCTGCATCAACATGGAGGTCTTTTATCCTTTGTCCCAACTGAATCATCATCAACATGCCTGAGACTTGCATTATCCCAAAACAGATCCATAAATATTAATAAATGATTCTCCTTCTGGCAATGTAAACTATAATTGCGTAGAGCTTAATATGAACTGGGGCCACAGCATATAATAAATATTTAAGACTTCTTACATTCCCCTCACATTCCCGGATCCCAGTCTAAATCTGGTTCCTGAAACAAAGTTCTCAATAAGATGAAATTGGCAGAAAAATGCTGCATATGAAGTAGCAATATGTACATGATAATCCATGTCTATGTCCATTGGAAAAGATGTACATACCTTGCAGGTCTTATTCTGTTAACTTTGAGAACATTTTAAGGACTAAGAACTTGTCCTTAACTCACAGATTAAATCTCTTATGGATCCCAGTAATGGTTCACACTGAAGCAATCTGTGGGACAATCTGGATACAAAGGGGGGTTGTTTTCAGTGTTTGTGGAGATGCTTATCACACTTGTCAGAACATCCTTAAATCAAACAAGCCTTTCTGTGATTACAAGCCCAAGAAAAGTTGTAGTTTCCTTCAGGAACAGATGACAGGTGTGATGAACATGCTTACCTAGGGTTCTAAATCACTTTTATCTTATCAAAACTACAGCTGCCATTATTTATTCAGCATATTGGTGAAAACTACTGCTTCCCTGGAAGTAAAGGGCAGTTATTTTTAAGAGAAACCACTGTGATAGAAGGAAGAACATAGATTTTAAGGTGTTTTTTTTAAAGCCCCCCATTTTTATTTTTTTTGCACTTTTTAGTATCTGGAGAGACAGAATTATTTGTGATCTTTAGATAATTTTGAGGAAAATATATACATATAAGCTGACTGTATAAAGGCACTTAGTGAGGTGACTATGTCTCCTATGGTAGAGGACACTGACCCCTTGTTTTAAATGTGATCCTTCCAATTAAAATAACTACATCATTCAATGGAACTAGCATTTTAAAAAAGGTCTGATCAGACCATTTTGCTGATTTATTTATGCTTGCTTTACCAAAGCCACAGTAACTAAAAAGAAAGGTTCATATGTATAAGTGTGAGGTAAAAACACATATTAACAAATTTAAACATCCAGAAAACATGGGTAAACAAAGCATTATAACTGAATGTGGTTAGCCATATAGAGTTAAATGAAGCACTCACTGAAACTAAAGCATGAAATTGATAATAATGATGAGAGTCATACTTGTAAAATAACTGAAATATGTTTATTTTTATTCTACCAGAATAAAACAACAAATAAAATAATAAAATTATTATTTCTGCTGCTTATTGTCTGTCTATTTTAAAATTTAAAATAGAAAAGGCTGGGTTTTTTTTCAACTTCCCTTAAATATTAATTTGCTTGTCATAACTTATGGATATACATACACTGTGTATTTAGTACGCTGATCTGGAGAAATGAGAGCAATTGAAAGAGATCAATTGTTTCGATGTGCTGTGTAAACCCAATTCTCAAGCATAAATTTGGTGGCTCTATCAAATAAATTATCACACACCATCATTTGTAACTATACTATATTGTTATGACACGCTTGATAAAACAAGAGTTTGTGGTGATATACCTCACATCTACCAAAACCACATGTCTTTCATATTTCTGAACAACTTTGCTTTCAAGAACCTTAATAAAATATGAACAGGAAATAAGTACTCCACCCTCATTTTATGAATGCATCCACTTATGCTCTGCTAAATTCTAAGCCATGGTTTTTTTTTCCATTCCTGTTAAAAATGTCCAACTTCACTTTTTCTTCCATACCCTAGATTAAAGGGCATAGAAAGTTTATTAAAAAGTTGGTAAAATGCAAAGAAATGGGGAAAAACAACATTGCTTAGCTTGATGGTTACAATGGCTACAAAAACCTTACACAACTTACCTAACCTGATGAACGCTACAGCATTCCTCATTTACCTGTACATTATAACCATTTCCCTCTTAGTTGGTTATGACTTCCTGGGCGTTGATATGCAATTGGATTGTGACAATGATTAATTTTTCTTTCACAGATTATAGTTCCAGTCAACACTTAAGCAGGCAATGGTTTGCTTCCTTTCCAAGAAACCATTGGTAGATTTGACTGTCCTGGGCTATTTGTGCCTGTTTTCAACTTTCTCTTTTAGAAGGAAGGTTTACAGGGGCCATTTTCTTTGAGTTTTCAGACCTGAGTACAGGACAGAAATGGCATGATTACTTGTAATTGTGGATGATCTGTGATGGGAAAAGAATGGGTAGTACATCTATACTGGTTCTTCTTGATTTCTTAATGTCTTCCAATAGCATTGATAATGATAACTTTCTGAACTAATTTGGGTTTTAGAAGTGAGTGACATTATATTGAATGAGTTCCCATTCTTCTCACAAGGGCTGGTTCCAGTCAGTGTTGATTTAGGGTAGTGGGAGGTCTAGGCTACAGTCCCTGATTTGTTGCATGCTTCAGGATTCAACATTGTCACCATTCCTGTCACCTACATTGGGTGAGGTCATCTGACAACACATGGTGTGATATCAGTATACCAATGATACTCAGTTTTACATTTCTACCCCAGGTCAACCAATTAATGTTGTAAAGGCTCCATTTCAGTGTTTGGATGCTGTGGGGAAGATGGGGAAGAACAGGCTTAAGTCAGCCCTAGCAAGACCGATTGACTTTGGGTTTTAGGACCAGATTCCAGATCCTTCATGTTTTGATCTGGATGGTATTGCACTACCCCAAATAAAATAAGTAATTTGTGGGTCATAGGTCCTGTTCAAGGAACAAGTGGCAGTGGTGGGCAGGAAGGCTTTTCTACAATGAAAATAGCTGCCACCTGTTTTTCATGTATGCAGAAATAACACCCTTTGCTGGACTAAAAGGCCTTGCCCACAGATACTTATACCTTAGTCATATGCAGGTGAATTATACTAGGGGCTGTATATACCATACTAGGGGCTGTCCATGAAAGCTATAATTATTTCAAAATGCAGCAGTGAGAGCAGTAATGAAGACTTCTCACTAAATATACACTTCTACATTGTCTATCAATATGCTTTCAGGTGCAATGTGAGGTTCTTGTGGTTATCTACAAAGACCTTTATGGTAGGGGACCAGGTCGTTTGAGGGATCATTTCTCCGCAATGACTACTACCAGTCTTGTTAGATCTAACAGGAGAGATATGGCATGGATAATATCATTAAAGGAATGCCATCTTGCAAGACTAAGGAAACAAACTGTTTGTGTTGCAATGCCTGCCCTTTGGAACATCCTCCTTCCAGAGATAAGATAGGTTCTGTTAGCCTTTGCCTAACCCTGAAGAAAAGGTTGTGTCCTCATGCATGTGGTTGGATTACAAGCTACGGTGGTGAACTGGTTAGAATACAGCACTGCAGGCTACTTCTGCTGACTGCCGGCTGTCTGCAATTTGGCAGTTTGAACATCAGCAGGCTCAAGATTGATTCAGCCTTCCATTCTTCTGAAGTGGGTAAAAAGAGGACCCAGATTGTTGGGGGCAATATGCTGACTCTGTAAACCATTTAGAGAGGACTGTAAAGCACTGTGAAGTGGTATACATGTCTAAATGCTATTGTTAAATGCTATACAGTAGAACAGGACCATAATCTGTTCCATGACTTCGGTCACAGGCCAATTTGATCATGACTGGAAGTGAGACTAACTGTGCATGTGCCTACAAAAAAAAAAAAAAATGCCGTGGAATGGGAAATTGCTGCGTAAGCAGAAAATGCAGTTGAGTTTGATCACCACCCAAGTGTTTGTTTGTGACCAGATGCAAAAATTTACTGAAAGTTTTGGTCATCACTGAATTTGGTCATGGTCAGAAGCATTCATGACCAGAGGTTCTACTGTAGTTAGTTACAGCCCATAAGAAGGTTATGTTAATTGTTGTCAATTGGCTTTTACCTTGACTGCCAGTCATGTATTTTATGTTTGTTTTTTTCAAGTGTTGTTAGCCATCTAGTGCCATGATGACCATTTAAATTAATTAAAA